CCGAGTTTCGTGCGTGACCGTCAGTGTAGATCACGACCATACTTGGTTTCCATGAAAACATAATGCCAACCACATATGATGCTATATAAAGATTTCAGCCAACAGGTGGCCAGCACTAAGTGTTGCAATGTTAATCAATACGTATTCTTCAAGTGTTATCTGTAATAGAATCTAATAAAGCTTCTTCCGTGTTCCTGTTCTAACTAGGCCGAGAAAATCCATGTGAAGACCTCTCTTCATCTGGTTAAATGTACAGCATTGGCATTAATGAAGGATTACCTGTAGCTCAGCAAAACTTCCGCCAGAACCCTAATTTATATGGTGATGAGTTGGGAATCCATCTGCCGCGACGTTAGATCATCTCTCGTTGCTGCTTAGCCCTCTACTAACAAGCACAAACACGTATAACAGCATTATAGTCCCTGATTCAACACTGCTAACCGAGTAAGCAATAGGGCAAACGAATACAGAGTGTGGGACCAAATGTGCATAGTCACGAGCATATGAAGGCACAGAGTTGCTAGTGAACACAGCGAAGTTGAAACACATGACATCCCCAGCCCAGTAATGTTAAAACAGTAGATTACTGCAAATAAGTAACCGTGGAACCCAATTCTAGTACAGTTCAATGATATTCACAAATATATGGACTGTGGCATGGTTCAGTGGAAAGAAAATGACATAACCGATGCAACCGTTGCAAAACAGACATTTTTATATGACAGGATTGTAACATATCATGATACAGTATCATAACCATGGTTGCAATACTGAGCAAAACGAAGGAATTATTTTGTTTAAAGTAATAATAGCTACCCTTTGTATATCGGTGTTCCTCTAACATTCCATGCCGTCAATCTCATGACTGAATTCCAAATTATCAGTCACCAACCTCAAACTGTGAATCCCCAGTCTGAGAAGCTGCTTCCACTACTATACCACACACACCACACCAGATATGGATATACAATTAAAAAAATATAAATGCTAAATGATCTACTTGAGCTATACAGAGGTATAAAAAATAATGTTTTCCGTTATAACTCTTCTATACTTCAGGCGTTAAAGTTCAATAGCATATATTTACTCGAATAAAATGTAGTTCTCGGTTAAAAAAAAACCTTGTCTGGTGTAACTCACCTTAAGAGCTAAATGAAAGAACAACATGTGAATGTCTGACATGCGATCTGTAACAGAAATCCACACGTCATCATCTGTCTTCGCCGGTTGAGACAATATCCTAAGTAAAATCCAAGATAAACACACTTACACACAACAGCCACTAAGATAAACCAAGTCAGGGCACAAGCTCATTACTCAAGAAGACATTTTAAATACGCATGCATGGCACACACACGTTTGTTTAACACAGATCAAACAGTCAAAAGTAGAAGTTGTTTTCTTTGTGGGACATAAACTCAATGTCTGTCCTCACAAAACTCACTTTTGTGCACAAAAACTCAATTCTGTCTCACCAAAAAGTCAATTTGTGACCACAAACTCAATTCTGTTCATATTGTCCCACAAAACACAATTTTGTGAACACAAAACATCAATTCTGTCGATCCTCGTCCCACAAAACCAATTTCTGAAGCATGCTGGCAAAACTCAATCTGTCAATCCTGTCCCACAAACACTAATTCTGTCCATCCTGTCCCACAAAACTTAAATTTGTACAGCTCCATTTGCATGATTTTTCGATTTTGTGGCCCAAATTAATGGCAGCACGCATGTAAAAAGGGCTAACCAATTGGTCCAGAAACTGGGCTGGAGAAAAGTATGTCACGGTCGCATCTTGTTTTTTAACTTAGTGACCTATTCTCTCAGCTCAGTTTATAAGAGGAGTGGTAGCCGCTTCTTACATGCGTGTGCCATATTTGGGCACGATTGTGAGTGCAGTTGAGTTTTTGTTATATTGAGTTTTGTACAGGATTGACCAGAATTGAGTTTTTTGTGTTCACAAAAAATGAAAGTTTTCGTGAAACAGATCCAAATTGGCTTTTCGTGCAGCAAAATTGACTTTTTGTGAAGACGGAATTGAGTCTTGGTGTGAGTTTTTGGAGGATGCAGGGATTACTTTTTAATTTAACGAATGAGTTTTAGAGTCCACAACTCATTTTGTCCAAGTTTATAGGTACAAAAATGCCTGTCCCTGCATTGGCGCCCGTAATTCTGCGCATAATTATGAGAGAGAGGAAGCATGGATAGATTTAAATCAGTTTTTTACTTCACCTTACGTTGACTCATTATGAGATGATTATTTACATTTTATCGGGCGTTTCTTGCTCGTTGATTTTCCCTAACAGTCTATAACATTAAATATCGTTTAAAGGCCACTTGCACCTCAGTCGCAGATCTAATTATCTATCACGATGCCATATGACAGGCTAAATTGGATGTGGTGCATATACTGATCATATGTATTTACAATGTATTTACGAGGATGAAATATTAAGTGTTGGATAAACTAAATAACACTAATTTTTCAAAAATGTTATTTAATAACACTCGGTTCCGAGTTACCCATACATAAATGTTGTAAGGTCACTAAAGAACTCCCACTCGCGAGAGTCTGAAAGTGCAAACGACCTGTCCACTTCCTAGGCTTAAGAAACCTGTTCAGACCGAACAAGTCCAACCTAACCTTCAGCAAGCAGAGGAGGGGAGTGATAACAAAAGAGTGAGAGAGAGAGAAAGAGCGAGAGTAAGTAGACTGACTTCAACGCACATAAGCCAGCGCCAAGGTGATTTATGACTTACGATCCTCTCACAGTGTGTGTGCAAGACTGGAAGACGATTGTGATCAATGTAAAGGTGACCTCTTGCTTGATGGGTTAAGGGGTGCCGCGACGTTGTGGCTGTAAGGGCAATGAATTTGTCATTCCATGCACCTCAGCCCACTACGTCTCCATGTTTCAGTGGTTATGTGGTGTTTGATCAACGCACCATGGAACACTGAAACGTGCAAAAATACGGCCAGCCTTGCTTATATACAAATTTGACAATACTATAATGTAATTGCCAATATCTGCCTAGATCCTGATATATTTCTTGTCTCCCTCCTCTCCTCTCTCGTCTCTTTCTCCATATATATATAATATATATATAATATATAAATATAAATAATATATTTCTGCCAACGCTCCCTCTTCATCTCCCCATCCTCCCCAATCCCACCACTCCACCACAGAGTCACCGCAGTAGACGTTAGATGAGCGCTGTCGCTATGCGGCACTTTTTATTGCTTCTAATATATTAGATGGGTGATTGTAATTTTATGTTCTCTGTGAGAGATGAGATGGTTTACGCCTATCATAATACTGCTGTCGTTCTTCCAGGTTCTGGACATTACCCACCTCACTGGGAAAGTGGCTGATATTGTTTCTATCTATACGTTTTGCGACATTCTTGTATGCATTTCGCGCTATTGCTGGCCTTATCTCATTTAAACATGGCTTAACTAGAGCACTCGGAGAGCACAGATCTCCGCCAAGGCAGCTGAATTCTCTCAATGTGGAATTTTTTATTAATTAATTAATTAATTAAGTGGAAAAATTAATTAATTAATTGGATTCGGATTAGTGCGAGCGTGCAGGTGGGGGAGGACTGTGGTTGCCCCTTAGCCTGTGTTTGCGTGTTTGTAAGTCTACAGCCAGCGCACCTAGCGGAAGTGAACTGAAACGTGCATGTTCACAAACAAACAAACCAACACTCAAACATTCGCCGGTGAAAACATAACCTCTGCCACGCCCCTGGCGGAGGTAATAACTGCCTCTATCTCTATCACGTTTAGTTTAGTAAAATGTGTAAATTCTCTATTTGGAACCTTGAAATCATTGTGAGAGTACAATACAACTGACAGACCTGAACGAGTAGTATCAGTTATTTGATAGAAGCATACAACTAACTCTTCACTACAGACCTTAAAGTGATTACGTCACCGTAAATAGTAAAAAATAATATAAGTAATTCTGTTCACATTTTATGGTTAAATTGCTGCATTATACTTCTTATTTTACTATATATATATTGTTCGATGTGAACATACACTCGTGACTCATACATAGCGCATAGCAAGCAATTAATGTTGAGAACATGAATTTAAATCGTCCAGGTTTTTTGGATTTTTAACTAGTTGAAAAACAATCTTATCAGGTAAGAATTTGACGATTTGTTTAGTCCCGTTAGTTCTTACTTTTAATGTAAAAAAATGGCAATTTTTGTTAACAAATTTTACCATAGAAAATTCGTGACGTAGTCCCTTTAAATTAATATTATTTGTTCATATAATATCACAAGTCGCTCTGCCTCTACGTGACTGTTTAATGCATTCCATCATGTATGGTTTTAGTTTTATAACCGGATTCCCATTATTTTAAACTTTATAAAACTTCCAACTCCACGTTTTTCTATTATCAGAGTCCCAGTGGAGCTTGGCATCCTTGATTTATTTCTTAATTAATCGTTTTATTTTTTTCATTCCAACACAGGGTTCTCTAAGCTTTTTCATTATAGCATGAGCAATTGCCCAAGGCGGTTTGCGTGATAGGGGGGTCCGGGGGCATGCCCCCCTGAAAATTTCAGCATAGCGGCTATGATATTTAGAGTGGCGGGTGCATTTTAGGATGGCGGGGCTCGACGATAGCCTGGGGGGCCGCCAGGCTATAAGTGCTCTTGGAGAAGCCTGCAACATCATCGCTAGTGTGTTTATTCTCTTGATTCTCGAAGGCACTAGTGCAAATCAGTATCACTATCTGTAAACCATTTTCATTACGAGCAACACAAGGAAATCTCATACTAGTTTTGAACGAATATTGCATTTCTACCGCCTCAAATATTCTCTCGCCTAGCACAGGACAGAGTTTAATTGTATGAAAGGGTCCGACGGAATTTCAGTTTACCACTGTTAATAGTAGTCGTGATAATGATTGTTAATGTTTTGGTGAGTTTTCTTGTCATTACAACTGGTTGCCTTATTCGATAAATCATTTCATTTGCAGGAGCTGTAAAGGTAATTGCAGGTTACTGCAGTTGATCTTCCGGTGTTTAATACTCATGTGGCTTGCCTACATTTTAATTATCTACATTAGGTAAGTTATCACATTTGGTGTATTTCATATTGTTTATAAAAAATTGTCAAGCGAGGTATGATAGTACATTCCACGGGTTAGATAGATTGTCGTGAATAACATGGCTGTACTTAACCCACACTATATCTGCTCTTACTTCCTCTTGTTATTATATCCTGGGAACTTATCTGGTTCAGTAATTGTACCGCTGTATGTACGCGCACATTGCTGTCTAGTGTCTACCACAAGTCACTTAGTTGGATGTTCATCTCTTTGAGAAGTGCAGTGCTGATGTATTAATATGAACTGATGATTGATCTGTTGAACCTCATTGACCTTTAGTACTATGTAAATCAGGTATGCGTCGCTGTGCTATGGGGACAAGGCACACACTGATGAGGAGCTGAGACGTCTAAAACTCAAAGACACCTGGGACTTTATATTACACGAACGAAACTGTCTAGTTCCTTAAGTTGGCACACTTGAAACGTAGATAACTGAAACTTTATTGTGCACGGTTGCACAATCTATTTAGGGACAAAATATAAGTCCCTAAAAGACTTGAATCATGAATGAAATCCTGAAACATTGCTACTAACGATTCTTGCAAGTGTGTGATGAGTTTTAGTGCGTTATGCACCCTGCCAATTGTTGTGTGTACAGAAAAGCCACATCAACGTGTGATTGTATACATTGCAAACGGCAGTATAATTAAATAAAGTCTACACCTGCTTTGTATATTGGATTTATAGTATATACCTTTCATAGAGCGTGGGTGCTATGTTACTTTTCATAGGTTTTTTAGCTCATCTGACATAGTCAGATGCAGCTTGTAGAATCGCTTGATCGTCCGTCCGTCCGTCCGTGCGTCCGAGCGTCCGAGCGTCCGTGCGTCCGTCAACAGTTGGGCACAAATCTTAACCGCTCGACGTACGGTCACGATATTCGGGACGTGGGGGGTAATCCGAAAACGAGTTGGGATGTCGAAGCTGGGGGTCAAAGGTCAAAGGTCAAGAGGTGTAAAAGAAGGGGGAACATTCACTCCTTAACTTAAGGTATAGGGAGGAAATGCAGAATTGCGGCACAAATCTAAACGGCTCGACCTAGGCTCGTGATAGTCGGTGTATAGCATCATGGTAGGAAAAGCCATCACTGTGCCGAAATTGGAGGTCACAGGTCAAAGGTCAGTGGGCACAGGGCAGATTTTAGACATTTTCTGAGGACATGGTCTGACGGAGCGATTGAAAAACTTTTTTGTTTCAGCGGTGACCTAGCATTTTTATGGCTTTATTGAAAGGACCATGAAATGTCCCTTCTGCTGACATGCGAAGAGTAAGTGTCGGATAACCTTTTGACCCTCAAGAGGAGGGTTAAACTTGGATTTGTTGACTGTCTGTTAGAAAGAATTTGACTGCCGGGTTTGCTAGTAGAATCTATACATGCCTGGATGTATGAGGCTACAATGTCACAGTGAAATTTCAAAAGCTAAATTTGGTTAAAGAAGGTGTATGTTCCTTAAATCGTATAATTTTTATGTCATTCTGTACTGTCAGTATGTTACATGTAACGTATGCCACTGCCAGTGGCTGCTGCCAGTGCATGTGTTGGGGCAGTTTTTGCCTGCGTTAATTGGTTGCAGGTGGCAGCTCTCTATTGCAATTTGCAGCCTGTAGGCTTGCGTAGGTAAATGGATGAGTGCTTACCTATTCTGTCTTGCAAATAGTTGTTGCTACTACGAATGATGGGAGCTTCCATCTTTAATCTGAAGACACTTAAACGTACGCGCCATCTCGTGGCAACTTTCATAACGATCCCAACGAACATTCTTTTGAGAAGGTTCCTGATACCATCCCTGTGCATTCCACTGTTTCGGCGTGTATGTGAACACATTTGGGACTAACAGGGTTTACTAGAATCCCTCCACTCCACCACAGAGTCACCGCAGTAGACGTTAGATGAGCGCTGTCGCTATGCGGCACTTGTTTTATTACTTTTAGCAACGCAGTTTCTATGCTTGACAGTTAAACTTTTACTTCTTGCCGTAGTATTCATTCCCACTTACATAAAAGTGTAAGGAAATTTTTCAAATTTATTTATTAAATAAACGTTTATCTCTTTCCTGTAAAATCAAGTAACTGACGTGGGAATATCACGTGCCTATATGTATATAACGTTGTACCATGAACGCGCAATACCACTATCATGCCGTATGTAACTAGCTACTTATACTGATGCCTTTTATTCGTTCAGTCACACAAAATAAAATGTGGTAAAACGGAAATATATTGGCACAAAAGAGAAGATATGTCTTTCATTACATATAATGCAGATTTATATTGTATTCATCATTGTAGACGGTGACACACAGATATCATGACTAGTAATTGACTACTGAATTTTATACAATAAAATTTTCATGTTTATAATTAAATCAATCGTGTTCTGAAATAATATTGATAATAAAACGTCGAGTAAATGATCAAATTCTGCTCATTCTCGTGGTTTTAAGGGCCGGACACACCAGGCGATTTTATCGGGCGACTCGGTCGGACGACTGGATCGCCTGGTGTGTCCAGTCAGTCGCCGCCGATTTAGTCGCCCGATTTAGTCGCCCGATTCAATCGCATCAATCAAAACGTTTTGATATTATCGGGTGATTATTTCAGTCGCGCGACTATAAAATTGCGTGATGTGTCCACTCGACTCGCGCGATAGATCGCATTAAAATCGCCTAGTGTGTCCGGCCCTTTAGTTGACTTAATTCGAAGTAGGCCTATTAGTCTATTATGGACAGTCGTAGCGGCGCGGCGAATTGACACTGACAGTTACACGGTTAAAAATTAGATACACAAATGCGTTTACCATATTTTTTCCGCGGTACACGGGGCCGACTCAACAAGCTTCACTTATCCGAAGCACTCTGTGGCGACTTGCCACTAGCGGCTGGGGACCTCACATTGGGAGCACACACACATTTTGCAGCACACACACGATGCACCGTTCAGGTAATTATACCTATATATTATTCGTGTGACTGCACGAAGATTTCCACGTACAGTAAGTGATCCGGCATGACAGCTATAATGGTACCATCGGTAACGTAGTAATTAACATAATATACGTTCACAGATCATCCATCATTTACGCTGATTTATATCTCACGAAATGGGGAGCTGTGAAATTGCGTGTAGTACATCGGTGTAGGCCCTACATATATTGTCATGCAAAGCCGGGGCCGATATGGCAAAAGCTACGTACATCCTACCGTTGTCAATTAAGGTACATGCGCATGCACTAGTCCTAAATTGTTTTTAAACAATCGAATTTAAGTTTGGATTAATTTTCATTCGGATGCATGGCATTACACCACTAATTCAGTGTAAAAAATGTCTGAACTGTCACATGCCACACACATGTGCTTTCACGCACGTACCCTATATAATGGAGAGAGAAGTAAAATCACACACGAACACACCTATGTAGATAAGAACACAAATGTTAGCAGTGATTGCATCGTTTGGATCCCCCTACAGCTATCGTTTGCTATCGTTTCGATCACATCAACAGTTTGTTAATTGACAATTATACAATTCTCCAAAACAATCTAACCACAGCGAACATTTTTTAAACCTCCTTTATGCTCGTACAGACGCGATACTAACCTCTATGACATTGTTTCAAGTACTGTATACAATTTCGACATCCCTGTGAGCCAACCTGGCTTATATATTATTCCACACTTGCTGTGTGCGTGCGTGCGTGCGCGTGCGTGCGTGTGCGTGCGCGTGCGTGCGCGTCTGCGTGCGTGTGTAGGATATCTGTGGGTATAGTAACCATCACTGACGGTCGTTGCTCCACACCAGCGTGATGATGGTATGTGACATGGAAAACACGTTGGCAAATCCATGCGTTTCGTCCTGTATACTAACGGTGTAGTCCCGGCCCGTCCTAAAATTATGAATGCAAGCCACGGATGATACTCGCTTAATGCGCTGGAAAAACTTTACTAGCAGCACATATTTTACACGAATATACTCGCGGTCAGCGTTACTAGTATTTCGCTAATTAGTCGGGTTCCTTAGCTTCATGATCGTTACAGAGCTGACAAAAGCATCAAACTTGGCACAGTTGTAGCCTATGGCAGTACTATAAATATTAGAGGGTGGGGGGGTCCCCAATGTAGATTTTTTTAAGAAGTAATTTACAGATGATTAATTTTTCGAACCGCGCCCGCCTGT